GGCATGCTCCCCGCTGGTCGCCGCAACGGGTTAGCTGCATGCATTTTGAAACGCTCCAAGGAGACGATCGCGGCGCTGAACTTGATGGCCAGCTACCCGACCGACGAGCCCGTCACCTCGGACATTTCCCCCTGGCATCAGGCACTGTGTGAGCGAGTGGTACAGCTACACGCTGAGCACCGCCCGCCTACTTCGGCGTCGTCTCGGACGGCTGGCGGGGGGCTGCTGGGACAACCCCTCCTTGGCTACACTGGGGAGGTTACGCCGCTGCGATCTTATGCGCGACACTTGGCGCAACCGACCTGGGTAGCTGGCAGACAGGCTCACCGCTCGAGGCCAGTCTATTCCCTTGGATCGTGACCACTCGCTCGCGCTGCCGCAGTCCGAGTTGAACGGGGTGATCCAGGCCGAGCAGCGGCCTCTACTCTATATGGATCCTGTTTTGAAGAAGCACGCAAATCCTTACCAGGAGTTTGTTCGAGATGGTCTAGCGCGAGGCTGCTTCCGCGTCGGCCGTCATCGGCGCGAAGATGCCACCGTCTTCTTCGTCGCAAAGAAGGACGGCGGCCTGAGGCTGGCACTGGACTGTCGCCGATCTAATCAGGGGTTCACCAAGCCTGACCCAGCCGCCCTCTTCAGCGGGGCCTCCTTTGGCGACTTCGAGGTGGAGGCTGGCCAGACAGCCTGGCACGGGGGGCTGGACGTCAAGAGCGCCTTCTACCAGCGCCGCCTGCCGTCCTACCTGTGCGACTACTTATGCTTGCCGCGGGCGCGCGCTGGCGCAATGGGAGTGGCGCACGTGCTGGGGCGACCTGTCGAGCCATGGGACGTTGTGTACCCGCAGATGTCCGCGGCGCCAATGGGCTGGTCGCGGGGGCTCCAGAGGGCCCACGAGTGCTCGCTGGACGACCACCCCCTCTTCACGACCTGTCCGAGGGCTGTCGACTTCCGACCGCCCCCCTCGGCGCAGGACGGGCCAGCCCACTCGCCCACTGGTCGGCGCCAATGAGGCGGATGTCACCTCGAGGAGACGCCTGGCCTCTGCCGCCTTCGCCTCGCAGGAACTCGCAGTGCACTGCGAGGGGGGCGCTGCGCAGGATATGGACATGCTGGGCGCCAGGCTAACAGGCTGGCCCCCCGCCGCGCAGCTGTCAGAGATGCGCTTCTGGAAGCTGTACTTCGGAATCCAGTGCCTGGTCGAGGTGAGACGTCGGGCTACTAGCAGCGAGTTTGAGCATCTCATAGGCCATTGCACCTTTTGCGCGCTGGTCCGGCGCGAGGCCCTTGCTAGCTTCTGCGCTGCGTGCGCTTTCATCCGCGCAGGTTTTGTCGAGTGGGAGCCTCTGGGACTCGGTGGGCCGTGAGCTGAGAATCTCCCAGGGCATCCTCATCCTCCTGTCCTGTCGTCTGGATGCCGAGTGGTCCCAAACCGTGATAGCCACCGACGCGTGCGAGACGGGTCACGCGTCTGTCATCGCCGATATGCCGATCGACTTCGTCAAGCGAGTGGGGGGGTGGCAGGAGAGGTGGCGATATCGACATACTCGATCTGGTGATGGGACTTACCGACCACGTGACCGAGCGAGAGGCGCGGAGGAGATGGAGGGCGAGGACGGGGACGCGCGATCGATCGACGACGCGCGCAATGTCGGCGAGGTGGATCCGAGCTTCCCCGAGGTCTCTCCCCAGTATGTTAGGGCTGCCAAGCGGGTCTTCCAGCGTCGCAGGCCCACGAGGGACCCCGAGGCCATGCGTCGAAAGGAAGCCCGAGGAGTAGCCGAGGCAATTCGTGTACATCTGTCTGACCCCCAACGATGGCGTAAACGGGTGCTCCTCTTGGGCGACAACCTGGACCCTTCTCTCGCCTCGTCGAAGGGTCGGGCTCGAGACGCGCGACTTTTCAATATTATGCGTCGCTGGTCCGCCTTGCTGCTTCTGGCAGGCACAGTCGTGTGCCACCGATGGCTGCCATCTCAGCTGAACCCAGCGGATGAGCTCAGCCGCTGGGAGCGCAAGTCTGGCAAGCCGCTGCCGGTCGCGCTCGCCCCGCCTGGCCTCGCATCCCCCGCGCCTAGGCCGGCGCCGGGCTCTTGCGAGGGCCGCGACGCCGGCGCTGGACGCGCCGCGATTCCGAGGCGAGCGGAGGCCCCGCGCCCGACGAGGACGGGCCCTCGACGGGCGCCAGCTGCCGCGGTTGTGACACCGCGGCCCTCGCGGCCGCCCCGCGGACCGCGCCTGCTGGGACTGCAGCCCGCGCGCAGCTCGGGCACGCCAGGGGCTCCGCTGCTGGCCGCGGCCGAGCAGACGACGCAGCTCGAGACGGCCGCGTTCGGCGCGCACGCCGCAGGGGGGCCAGGTGCGGGGTCGCTCAACGCGAACAAGAGACGGCGGGCCTATGCGCGGCAGTCCACTCACGGGCCCGCTCGCGACACTATGCACCAGCTAGGGATCGCCGAGCAAGCGGCCGTCCAGCAACGGACTTTCACCAGCTACAACCGGTTGCTCCCTGCCTTCATGATCTTCTGTGGCCTCACCAGTCTCATCATGCCAGCCCACTCGCTCGACGCTCGGGTCGTGCAGTTCTTCGATCACCTGTATCTGGAGGGGAAGGCACCCTCCGCTGGCGAGAAGCTCATTGCAGCCCTCATGATGTTCATCCCAGACCATCACGTTCGGGGCCGCCCGCCGCTGCCACGGGCGGGGCGGGCGCTGCGCGGCTGGAGGAGGCTCGCGCCTGCCAGGGCGCGCAGGCCACTGCCTTGGGCGGTCTGCTGCGCGGTCGCGATGCAGATCCTGGCCGAGGCAGCGACGGTAAGCCTGCCCTACGGCTTCGAGGCAGCCCTGGCCTGGACCATGATGGTGGACACGTATCTGCGGCCAGGAGGGGCGATGGGGCTCACTGCAGCGCAGGTCTTGGGGCTCTGCGGGGACGTCTCGGACGTGGTGATTCACGTAAGCCCCGACTACATGCTGAGAGCCTCCAAGACAGGCGAGATGGACGAGACCGTGACGATCTCGCGACGATGGATCGGGGCGCGTCTTGTCGCCCTTGCCTCGAGCCGCCGCGGGCAGCCGATGTGGCCGCTCAAGCTGTCGCAGCTGAAGGAGCTGTTCGATCGCGCCGCCGCGCGAGTGGGACTCGCGCCGCTCTCGCCAGTTCTCTACATGGCCCGCCACTCGGGGGCAAGCATCGACCGCCAGGAGGGCAGGCCGCCAAGAGGGGACGCTGGCGCACGTTGAGCAGCGCGCGGCGCTACGAGAAGCGCGGCCTGCTGCAGGAGGTCTGGAACAACCTCAGCGCGCGCGCCAGTACTGCGAGTCAGCCGCGGCCGCATTAGCCGACAAGCTCGCGGCGCACTTTTGCGGCAGCGGCAACGCGAGACGGCGGACCCCCTCTGGGACTACCAGCCATTCTACCAAGAGCTGTTCGCTGGGTCCGAGGTGTGGACCAAGGGCATGCGGCGACGCCGCTGCAAGGTCTACCCCTTCGACATCCTGCAGGGGCCCGAAGGCGACCTTCTCCGTCCTTGCGTGATGCGGCGCGTCCTGAGGCTCGTGCGATCAGGCCACTGCCTTGGCGTGCTGGCTGGTGTTCCATGTACAGCCTTCTCGATCGCCCGTGGTGGGCACAATGCTATTCGTTCAAAGCAGTATCCTGCAGGCCTTCCTGGGCTTCTGCCCCTGTGCAGTCTCAAGTCGATGAGAGCAACAAGTTGTTTTACAACGATGTGAGGATATTCGCCCAGTGCATTAAATGTCGATCTCCTTTTCACTGGGAGAACCCGCAGAGAAGCTACATGTGGCACATGCCAGACGCGATCCGCATCTCAGCCGTTCCACAGGTGCTAGATGTCATCACTCACTACTGCGGTTGGGGCACTGCGTGGAAGAAGCCGACTCGATTTCGGACGTTCCTGCGGCCAATACCGAGCGGTTACACAAGAAGTGCACAGGGCGCGGATTCTGCTCTTTCACTGGCGCTGATCACCACATGCTGCAGGGCCGAGACGACACTGGTGTTCACTGGACTCGGCGTGCTAATCCTTACCCTCCAGCGCTCGTTTGTCAGCTCGCTGGGCTTTTTCAGGACGCCGGCTTCGCCATGCAGTTTCCCCTCAGTGTGCATGCTTCAAATGCGTAGAAGAGCCCGCTAAATTTTGCAGAAGGTATGTTGCAGTAGGACAGGTCTCCTAAATATGGTAGTCAGATTGATGCTCGTACGATTCGTTCGACTCTCCCGAGTCTTCGGTTCAGAGGTCATTTTTCTCACAGAAGTGTTGCGGTTCATCTCGTGTTGTTCAGAAAGAGTCTCGGAGTAGAAGCAGCTAGTAGAGCGGGCTCGGTTTGCAGCTGGGGCTGAGAGATTCTCACGAATGTTGGACGCAGGTTTCCAGACAACTCTGCGGCGTCACATTTTCCATAGTCTCTCTGGGTCCTCCGCCTCCCCTCCTCCTTTTTGCGGGTACAGCGTATCTGTGCACTGGCCGTCGTGGTAGTCAGATTGATGCTCGTGCGCGTCGTTCGACTCGCCCGAGCCTTCGGTTCAGAGGTCATTTTCTCATAGAAGTGGCTGCAGCTGATGATGATGATGATGCTGATTCTGATGATGGTGATGATGATGATGATGATGATGATGATGATGATGATGATGATGATGATGGTGATGGTGATGGTGATGGTGATGATGATGACGATGATGATGATGATGATGATGATTGATGATGAGATGATGATGATGATGATGATGATGATGATGATGATGATGATGATGATGATGATGATGATGATGATGATGATGATGATGGTGGTGGTGGTGGTGGTGGTGGTTGTGGTTGTGGTGGTGGTGGGAGGAGGAGGAGAAGAAGGAGAAGGAGGAGGAGGAGGAGGAAAGAGGAGGAGGAGGAGGAGGAGGAGGAGGAGGAGGGGCGGGCGGAGGCAGGGAACGGCCGAGAGAGTCGCGGGTCCTTCGACCGCCACTGAGCGCGCGCGAGCGCGCAGAGGTCGACCTGCGGCAGGTGGACCGCTTCGAGGCGGAGGGCCACCAGGAGGCACCCGGAGCGGGGCCCTCCTCCCTCGGCCGGGGCTCGAACGACTGGGGTCAGCCAGAGCCCCCAGATCTTGCAGGATCCTGCAGAGCCAGGGGCGCGCAGGCCCGGGCTGGCGTGCAGGAGCCTGCAGGCCCCTGCGGGATCCTGCGGCATCCTGCAGGCCCCGATGGATACAGGCTTGGATCTGCCTGGGTCAGTAGATCCCCGACTCTGGACTTCCCTCGGAGAGGTGTCCTCTCCTCCTCCTCCTCCCTCGAGGAGGTGTCCTCCTTCCCTCGCGCTGGGGAGGTGTCCTCCCTCGGGGAGGTGTTCTCTCCTCCTCCTCCACCTCCTCCACCTCCTCCTCCTCCTCCTCCTCCTCCTCCTCCTCCTCCTCCATCGAGCAGGTGTCCTCCGGCGGGTTGGTGTCGTGCCGACGCGGCGGTGACCTCAGCGCGGGCGTTCAAGGTTGCCCCGGCCCCAGTGGCTCGGAGCGGGCCGACATCGAGTGCATCTGCGCGATCGAAGAGCCGCCGATCGCATAATGCCGACGGCCCACGCGGTGTCACACACCAGGAGGCACCGGGGAGGTGTTCTCTCCTCCTTCGGAGAGCGCCGACTGCAGCCTAGACGCCGCAATAAGGACAGCGTTGCGCTCAGAAGGGTCCCTGGTGTTCATGCCGCTGCTTGGATCCAGGTCAAGGGTCTCATTTTTTGCCGAGGCTCGCCGTGGCCAGAGAAACCCTTTAGTTCCGTATCCGGCGTTCGTTGATGATTATACAAAGCTACAATTTACAACGGCCTTGGCAATATCGATCGTAGGGTCGGCGTAGGCGTACGCTTGGCGTCCTCATGCCTCCCCCTCCCCCTGAGATCCCATTCCCCTCGCCGTGGCCCTGCTGTGGGGCCCACGTGCGCTTCCCGCTGCCACCGCCGTCCCTGCCGCATCACTGGAATTGCGGCTGCCCCTCACACTGTCGTCTACACATACGCACACACACACACACGCGGGGACGTACAGAGACGAGAGGCGGAAACATACGTAGAGGTAGAGGGCGAAGTATTGATATCAAGGGGATGTCGCCATGTGTCTCTCTCCTGGGGAACACATATGCCCAGTTTGTTCCTGCACGTCTGCCCCCGCATCTTGCCCTGCTCCTCTTTGCAGGGGGTGCACTCACAGAGCGGCTCGTGATCACATCGGGGTCCCAAAATCGTATGAGGCGGTCCGAACCGAAATCTGACGTCAGCGAACAGTTCTCCAACCAAGGGGCCCTCCCAGGAAGCCGGCCTCTTTGCAGGGGGTGCGCTCACAGAGCGGCTCGTGGTCACATCGGAGCCCCGAGATCGTATTGGGCTGCCCGCACCGAACTCTGACGTCAGCGAACAGTTCTCCAGCCAAGGGTCCCTCCAAGGAAGCCGGTGCCGGTGCGGCACGCCCCCCCGCGCGCGCGCCGCGGCCCGAGGGCACGGCACGGCACCTTTTTTCACGCCCCCCAGCCCGGGCACGGAGGAGTAGGAGGAGGAGGAGGAGGAGGAGGAGGAGGAGGAGGAGGAGGAGGAGGAGGAGGAGGAGGAGTGAGGAGGAGGAGGGAGGAGGAGAGGAGGAGGAGGAGGAGGAAGGAGGGAGGAGGAGGAGGGAGGAGGAGGAGGGAGGAGGAGGAGGGAGGAGGAGGAGGAGGAGGAGGTTGAGAGACCACTGCCCCTCGGACCCTGCCCGCCGCACGAGTGCGTTCAGCCCCGGCACGGCCCTGGGCACAGGCGCGGCTCGGACGATCGTCGTCGTCGCCGTCCTCGTCCTCGTCCTCGTCCTCGTCGTCGTCGTCGTCGTCGTCGTCCTCGTCCTCGTCGTCGTCGTCGTCGTCGTCGTCGTCGTCGTCGTCTTAGCCACCGTCTTCAAAGGGCAGGCTGTGGGCTGTGCCGCCCGCACGGATACGTTGAGTGGGTCTTTTTGGAAGCTCATGCGGCGATGGCGCGCTGGCGACGCTGGCGAAGGCGTTCCAGGTTGAATTTTGCGACGTTGAAGCACCAAGGGACACGGTGACGCCACTTCGACTGAATTCAATTTTGAACGATCGGAGCGGCGATCGATTCAAGGTTGAACAATCGACGCGATGTCAAAAATTCTTGCTCACGCCGACGCCACGCGAACCTACCGTGCATACGGTTGGGGCGGTGGTTGAAGAATTTGCCCAGGAGGCTTCAGACCCTGGGGGCTTCCTTGTCGGATGAGGGCGGCAGAGATATGCATGGCCAGGCCTCACTTGGTGTTTCACCAGCTTCCAGACTCTGGATTCCTTATCCACTGGTTCCTCATCCAATGCCCTCACCATACCTGGATGTGCGCGCGGGTCGGGCCGCGTCGCAGCGGACGCTACGGGAGGGCCGCGGGGACTGCTGAGCGGTGGACTGCTGAGCGGCGCCGTGGGGCTCGTAGTGGTGCGGTGGCCCAGGTCTGGCTATGCCCAGGTCTGGCCACCGCGGTGCCGAGCTCGTGGGGCGGGCCGTCGCCGTCGTGTCGTCGTCGTCGTGAATGCATGCATGACCACGTGGGTTCGCCTACTCGAAGAGTTTTTTAAAAATGCCCTCACCATAATGCACTTCTGTAGAGGCTACTACAGGCCGCTGAAGGCCACTAAAGGCTGCCAAAGGCTGCTAGGCCACTACAGGCTGCTGAAAGGCGACTCACGGCCACTAAAGGCTGCTAATGATGCACGACAGGCCGCTGAAGGCCACTAAAGGCTATCAAGCCGAGGCAGTATGTGTTTGAATGAGCTTCCAAAAAGATCCACCTGAGGTACAAGAGGATCGGTGCCGCCACATCTTGGAGCCGGTTGGGGGTCTGAGTTGACCCAGTATTCGTGCCCCCACCGTATTTTATGGCGCGGCTGTGTTACAGCAGCTGGAACACCACATCGCTCACCCTCCGGATCTTCGCCTCCGGTCCCTGTCCGCGGCGTACCTTTTCCCGTGCAAGCTCTTCGGCACCGCCTGCACCCCGGGCCCCGCCCACTCCGGGCGCCTGAGGCCCCGCCCGCCTGTGCCCTGTCTCCCTAATTACAGCTGCGCGCAGCCCGCCGAGCTTTTAGCGGAAGAGGTTCGCTCTCGCCCCGCCGACCAAAAAAAACGGCTGTGTTACAGCGGGTTGGGCGCCGTGGTTTCTTCGGCCGTCGCGCGGGCGGGCTTCGCCAGGTACCGATCTCGGGGGCGGGCAGAGCACCGTCCTCGTCGCCACCAGCAGTCAGGAGGGAAATAAACACACAGACACAATTAACCGTCGGTTCCGCAGAAAATATTCGAAAATATGGGAAGTGGGGGGGAAGACAAAAATCCAGATGATACCGGAGAAAAGCCCCAATCAGATTTTTGTTGGGGCAATGGGGCTATGTAGGCTATATGACTATATGGGGTATAGTGCTATTGGGCTATTGGGCTATAGGGGCTATAGAACCAACCTTAGGGCTATAGGGCTATAGACCTATAGGGCTATAGGGCTATAGGGCTGTAGAGCTATAGGGCTCTAGGGCTCTAGGGCTATGGGGCCATAGTGCTATACGGCTGTAGGGCTATAGGGCTGCTTGGCTATTGGGCTATTGGGCACCCCCGGGCACCCCCGGGCACCCGGGCACCCGGGCACCCGGGCACCCGGGCCTGGCCACCGAAATCGGCAACGCACCTCACCGGCCGCCCGGGCACCCGGGCACCGCCAGGCACCCCGGCACCCGGGCACCCCGGCCCGGCCACCGAAATCGGCGACAAACCTCACCTAACCTTTTAATCCGCTAGGACCCCTACAGAGGCAAGCTCTGATTGGGGAAAAATATGGGGAAATATAGGGCGTATTTTTATTTGTGTGTATGTATTTATGTGTCCTGGGGCCCCTTCAAGAGCACCGTCCTCGTCGCCACCAGCAGTGCGGTGCAGGGCTGGCCACAAGTGGCGGGGCGGCGCCCCTGCACGCCGAGAGGTGAGTTTTATTGCCTCCTGCCGCCCGCAGGGCGCCAGGGCCCGCTGGCGGCCTCTCGGGGCCTCGACGGTGCCACGAGGAAAAATGGGGAGTGTGAGGAGGAGAAGGAGAGGAGGATCAGCACGAACGAAATGGGTACGGAAAGAACGGGTACAATGCCCAACAGCAGTTGCTGTTCATTTTGAACAGGATTCGCTGTCCGCGCCGCCGCGGCCTGTGTCCATTCGAGGCAAAAGGCCGCCTGCCCAACAGCGGCCGCTGTTGGTTGGGGCAACATTTGCTGTTGAGCATTGTGCCCATTGTTTCCGTGCCCATTTCGGGCGTCCAAAGAGGAACCAGCGGGAGCAGCAGGAGCAGCAGAAGCTCCTCCCAGCAGGAGCAGAAGGCGTGGCAGCTCCGACAGCCGGGCCCATTGCCTACAGCGCCAGCGCACTAGGAGGAGGAGGAGTAACAATGGGGGGGGAGGAGGGGGGGAGCGGAGGAGGAGGAGGGACAGGAGGGGAGGAGGAGGAGGAGGAGGAGGAGGAAGAGGAGGAGGAGGAGGAACAGCGTAAACCCAAGACGCATCAACGATGTTGCAAGAATCACTCCCTCGATTTCCCTCTGTATAGGCCCCTGCCAGAAATTAGTTTCACTGCAGGAAGTGCTCCATTGGAAGGCAACCGCCTGAGAATCCCCAGTCCGTCGAAAACAGCACTGCTGGGAATCCAACGCTGCGAATCAACATCATTGCTACGTCCTGACAACCCTGAATCCTGCCAGAACACCATGCCTGGGATTCCAACACCTCGAACCAACTTGCTGATGCGACCTGGCAATTCTAAATCGTGCCAGAGAACCGTTCCTGAAACGTCATCCATGTGAATGCTTGAATACGCTGGAAACGTTGAAGACGAACGTGCACGGCGCAGAGGCGAGAGCCACAGTTTGAAAACGACCCGCCATCCATCCGTGGAA